GCGTCAGTTGCCAGTTATTACTGTGCCATTACGATTTTGTACATGTTATCGAAATCCAAATAGTATACGCTTTCATAAATGAGTATACAGAGTTGAATTACATGTCACGAGATGTTTTCCCACAAAATATCTGCCTTTACTACTTACAACATTATTGTATGCTTAAACAAGATACTACAACAAACATATGAGTCGTTTTTGATGGTTCAGAAAGAATCTCATAGAGTTTTGTGATGATATGTGGAGCTTGGGTTTTATTTGTACGGCCTGGCTAACCCAGTTACATCCACAAAAAAAATTAGAGAAAATTTATATATAAATGATAAAGAACTAACGACGTGTCTTATCTAACAGCCTCATAATCCGTTAGTATTGTTCTTTTGTCTTTTAGTTTGTATATATGTATCTATTGGTCCATTAAGTCTATGGTTATACTCCTATGCAGACCCACGCTTATATTTCATCATTGCGAAACTTATTATATATTTAGTTCATGATGTTAATCTTTTTTTCTTCAATTTCTACTTCTTAAAACTAACCTGATTTATTTCTTACTTGCTGTACATGTTGATTTATTTCTCACTTGCTGTGGTTCTCTATCTCATTCTTTTCCCTCCATAATGCGGTCTCGTGTTGCTTTCCGTTGCCAATTGACGCAATCTTTCGGTTCCTTGTATTTTATAAAGCCTTTCATATGTTTCATTTCGGATTAAGTCACTTTATTGACACCAATAGCTGCAGATTCTTCTTCTAATGTATATATCCTAGTTTTTAGAAACTCACTCATTTTAGTTATAATGTGCTTTTATTAGGGTTAAGTCTCACAAAAAAGTTTTTTAATAATACATTCTCAGTAGGAATAAATTTTAATTACTATTTTTGGTAAGACCTTCGTATAGTTGATTTATTGGGTTAATTTCCGGTTTTAATAATACGTTTTTACATCGGCTTAAGTTTAAGTTTTCAATAATGTGTTTTCACTTCCATTTTTGTGGTGTTTAGAACTTAAAAAAAAAAAAGTGTGTCAAATCATTTTGTTCGCAATACATTCATTCAACTAACTTATATATCTTTATTTACAAGTTAAGTATTATAATAAAATTTACTTTAATTTTTGATAAATATTTTGTCAATTTTACATTAAGCAACGCTGTCAACACTCTGCCTACTTTCGTTGATCTCCTTTTCTTCTCATCTTGAAGCTAATTTTATTGCCAAAACCTACCCTTATGCTATATATATTTCGGACCTTGTTTTCTTTTCATAACTATCTCTTTAAAAAGCGCTACTATGTGCGCAGAAACTTATGAAAAGAGATCTTAATTAACGGAATTCCACTATTATGAAAAACGCTACTCTTTTTGAGAAGAGCAGTGACAGAGCCGATGGATGGAAACCCCCACAGTTTTTAACGAATTAAAGGAGGATCTCTATTCTTATACTCAAAGCTTTTCAATACACTTCTCCTTTTTCATTTGAATCAGCGCATTTAAATCTGGCTGATATTTTATCGAAGCTTGTATTTCCTCCTCCTTCTACATTCCACACCTACATTCAAATCTTCGAAAAATCGATTTTTTACAAACGATACCTCTAGTGTGCACAGAAATCGAAATTTGCTAATTAATTTAGCGGAGAAAAAGCGTTCCGTTTTATTAGCCATTTTGTTATACAACTGGCAAGGAGAACTCGTTTGCAAAGGCACATCGCATTTTTGGCCATGTTTGTAAATTTTGAAGTTTTGGTACTAGTACTAAATCAGGAAATCAAAGCTGGTGTTCTTACGCCATTTGGTTGGTAAATAGGTGCGTATCTATTGATTTGTAACATACAGCAGATGCAACTGAATATAAACCAACTAGAATATAAAGCTTCGCATCCGCAAACTAGACTCCATCGCTTGCCCCAGTCATTGACCTAACAAATCTAATCCGTATTGGTGGAAGATTTGAAAGTTTTAATATTGGCCCATTGGTTGACGAAAACCTGCTTGTTGCGCAACCTCCGGCGAAAAACCAAGTACACCCAGTATATGATCGATAATTTGTCAAGTGATCGTATACAGTTTAGCAGGAACTTTTATACGACTGGAATCGATTTTCCCCGGCCATTGTACTAAAAAACGCAAGTGAGTAGTCGATCAACAAGAAAATGCTACATATGCATTTTTATTACCTACATCTGCGTTTCTAAAAGCTCTAGAATGTTTTGTCTGCGTCAGAGCCAAGCTAAAAAAACCAGCGAGGTTCCATTTTTACTGTATTATTGGTCTATTCAGATGAATTTTTCATGAGCTGCGCACATTGGTTTGCCAAATATCTGGCATACCCGATATCGAAGAGCCGTCAACATGGGGAGACCCTATCTCCAGCTAATTTTTTCATGTGTACCCTATGAAAATTATTACCTCTTAAATGGCAAATGGATCGAATGATTGAAAGTATTTGCGACCACGATGGAGAAGCCCGCGTTGCAATCATTTGTACAAACATGTAAAGTATGCAGTAGCAAAAGTAGCCGCACTGCCCATTGACTATAATACCATTTGATAGCCAAGTTATTTCAACGGGAGGAAAATTTTCCCGGCAATGCTACGCATGCAAAGACTCAGTTATGTTTGCCCATGCAACTAGTTTTAAGTTAGTTTGAAGTTTTCTTTTTCTCGCTTACATACGGACAGACGATTGGTGTTGGTTGTTGGCTCTAATATGCCTGTATCATTCGTTTTTCAACCACCAAGAGTGAAATTAAAAAATCAACATTTGAATTCCCATCTCGCTCTCGTCTTCGATTTTTAATACTAAAAATATTAGTGTAAAAAACTACACTAGTCAAAGCACTCGTTAAATATTTATTGCTCGTGTTTGAGCAGTTACTTCCCATATAAACCAGTCGGTTTTTAGGAACTGAGGACAAAATTTTATATATCTCGAGACTTGGTTTAAGTAGCGTAATTCGCGTAAATCACACAAGTTTCATAATCTGACAATATTGATGCCAGAGAAGAAAAAAAAAATTATTATCTAAGTTAGGATCACTCACTAAAGCACTGTTGTTCACATGGTGATTGCCCGTTTCAGAAGAGAAAGAAATATCAAATGCAAATGGTCGGTCTCTCGTCACCTGATTCGCACTTATTTCAAAGTTATCGTTTGCCAACCTTACCGTTCCTCGGGTTTTCCCAAACCCTTCGTCCGTCATGTCAGTTTAACAAAATAATCAACTTATTACTAGCTTAACCTAACACAATCCTTTACCGAGATAGAGAATATGTGCGGTCAACACCAGGGACGATTTGGATTCCTCACAAGGTTTCTTACATGTTAGAAAAACAAGCATCTACTCAAATCGATCGTAAAGTCTGTAACGAGTCTTCTTGGGCAGGGTATACTCAGCCAATCCGGGACTCTTTCGAAGAATATTTATAAAGATTACTTGGACCTTCGGTTTCGGTTTTACGTTTTTATTTATTTAAATTGCAAGGAGATTATAGCATTTACGCAAATTTTAAGAGGCGTGGGAGGAAAACCAGTGTGGTTACCCGACTTTCCTTGAATGTTGATTTGAATATTTCGTATTGGTTCCGACCGACTATGACTACCTTTCACGTTTTCGTGTCGCGAGTTTCCTTAGCTGCTATGACACAACTGAAAGGCTGAGCGTGGTGCGACACGCTCTTTTATGGTCGCAATCACCATTAATGTTCCGTTATTTGCATGTTCGAAGCTATGCTTGCTTACACATGTATTGTGCCGATATTCTCACACATTTAGTGTTACGTAAGCTATTTTAGGTTGGCTTCAATGTGTTTGATCTCTCTATGTTACAACCTCAACTCCGACTTGTATGAAGAGACTTTCCTTAGTGCTAATACTATCTGCTATGTACAATGCATGGTTTTTTTCCCAAACTCTTGTACAACTTATGTCTATCTTATTGCTATGCTTGTTTGTATGCCTATGCTTTTGTAACCGTTAGGTATGTGAATGCTATGACTTTACAATCAGTCAGGACCGTGAGGTCTGTGCTTACAATATGTTTATTTAGGAAAAGAGTTTTTTTCCTTCTGTTTCTATACTATGTGTACATTTACGCGTTTTTATGCTCTTTGAATATAGCTCATACAACTGGATATGTTACATGCCAATAGGTTTTTATATATAGCTTATATGTTACATGCGTTTATACTTTTGAGTACATTTTCACATAACTCACTCATACAACTGTGTATGTTACATGCGAATACTTTGAATACATTTTTAAATATAGCTTATATGCGTTTGTGCTTTTAATACATATTTATATAGCTCATACAATTGTTACCTGCGAATACTTTGAATACATTTCTCATACATATAGCTGATATGTGTGTTTGAGCGGCAGAAGGATGATCGTGTTCAGTGAAAAGACATGTAAACGGACAAACCAAACTGACCACTTGGGGTCTATGGGTAGGCATTTGTGCGGACGGACCTGTATTCAGTAAGGAAGCCAAACGCTTCCTTACAAGTCTTTGGTTAATGTATGAGTCGATTTGAAACTCTTCTTATAACTAAAAGTCGGAACATTTTGAAATATTTCATGATTTATAAGAAATTGTTTAAAACTTTGAAAATGATTCATATTAATAGGTTGCGTGATTCTAGTATTAAGAAACCGGGCAATGATAAAGAAACTTAAAGAAGAAAGTTGATTTTGTAACAGTTTACACTCTGGTTCAATGAAAATTTTTATCTATTGTATCATTCGCGGTCGTCTCCAACGATTAACCTTGCAATATAAGGTTCAGCTGTGAAATAATTTACACTGGTTATATCGATCGATGTAATCTGTTTAGGGAAATGTAATTCTTTGAAGGGAATATGATCCAAGTTGACAAGAGCACATGCCTCAAATTTGCTTCAAAACGAATGAACAATACTCAGTGTATTTTGATTATTCAGAAGAACTTGTGTTGCAATGTTTTACTTTTATATGATATATTGTTCAAAAAGATAACAATCTTAAATTAATTTTTTTCAGAATATAATAAATTTTAAATTATTGAAAAACATAATTATTGGTCCTTATGTCAACTAAAATGGCATTCTTCAAATACCAGAAAAGGTTATGGTTAAATGATCTTTACATTTTACAAAAAGTTTTCATCATCTTGTTGATTTTTTTTGCGTGTACAATTAGCATGCAAAATGTGAGCAGTAAATACTCCACCGGTAAATGGTGGCATCATACTCATTCGGTTGCTTTGACCAATAAAAAGATTACGTCTATCAAATCAGTCATATTCGGCATTGTAGAAAGTACCTTTGCTAAAGATCACGGCGCTGCTATGCTACTAGTAGACGCGAAAAGACCCGTATTAGGAATAAAATTTGGCGTGTCGTCCAACCGCCGAAAAGAGAGTGTAGTTACTCCAAAATCTTTCATAGCTTCATCTGCATCAGCTCAGATATCTCAAATTACGGTCTCGGCATTTAATGAAAGCGGTCTGTGTGACGAAAAGTTCTTAAAGGTAAGAACTACCAGGGATGCAAAAGTTACCAAATATAACAATCAGGATATCAACTTTCCCAAAACTACAGAAGTTATTTCAGAATATCATCATACGGCGTATCCAGGAAACACATGGTTTGCGTTAGAAAACCAAACAGCGCTAAACACGACAACTGATCTTCCTCCTAAAAAATTCATTCTACATCAGAGGAATTCGTCAATTAAAAAAAAGGATAAAATAAAGGCAGCCGATAGTTTGTCAATATATCTACCGGGTGATATTATACTTGGTGGTTTATTTCCTGTACATGAAAAAGGCGAAAACAGTCCTTGTGGTGCAAAAGTATACAACCGTGGAGTTCAACGTCTGGAGGCAATGCTATACGCTGTTGACCGTATTAACCATGATCAAAACATACTCCCAAATATAACGTTAGGTGTTCATATCCTGGACACATGTTCACGAGAAACATACGCTTTAAATCAGTCATTGCAATTTGTGCGAGCATCTCTTAATCAAAACTTGGATACGTCTGCTTTTGAGTGTCCTAATAGCGAAAAACCACGTCTTAAGAAGGACGTCTCCGCTGGACCGGTATTCGGTGTTATTGGCGGATCTTACAGTTCAGTATCTTTGCAAGTTGCAAATCTGTTGAGGCTCTTCCACATACCACAAATATCTCCAGCTTCTACAGCCAAAACACTCTCGGATAAAACGCGTTTTGATCTTTTCGCACGTACGGTACCACCCGACACTTTTCAATCAGAAACATTGGTAGATATAGTTAAAGCACTGAATTGGACTTACGTTTCCACTATACATTCGGAAGGCTCATACGGCGAGTATGGTATAGAAGCTTTTCATCGTGAAGCCCTAGACCGGCAAGTTTGCATTGCAATTGCTGTGAAAGTTCCAAGCAATGCAGATGAGAAAACCTTTGATAGTATAATACAGAAATTGTTAAGCAAAAGCACAGCCCGAGGGGTTATATTATTCACAAGAGCTGAAGATGCCCGACGAATACTATTAGCAGCGAAACGTGCCAAATTGTCACAACCATTTCACTGGGTGGCTAGTGATGGCTGGGGTAAGCAAACGAGATTACTCGATGGACTTGAAGATATTGCTGAAGGTTCCATAACGGTCGAACTACAATCTGAATATATCGGAGATTTCGACCGTTATATGAAAGAGCTAACTCCGGAAACAAACACGCGGAACCCATGGTTTAATGAGTATTGGCAAGCCACTTTCAACTGCATTTTAGCAGAGGATTTAGCAAATAAACATGGAAAGAAGCGGTGCAACAAAAGAGACCGCCTATCAGAGAAAGTTGGGTAAGTGTTATTATGATAAGAGCAGGTTCGTAATTATATGACAAAATCGTCTTTCAATTAGGTACCAACAAGAATCAAAAATTCAGTTTGTAATTGATGCTGCATATGCCTTTGCATATGCTTTGGATAATTTACGAAAGGACGTCTGTGCTTCTACATCTTATCAAAACGTCCAAAATGCAGCGCATCTTCAACATGGCCCTTCTTCTACCGGTTGGCTCCGTAAAACTATCAACAGTGATTCTTTTTCATGTCATGCTATGGAAGTGTACGACGGCAAAGATTTTTACAACAATTACTTATTGAATACATCATTTATAGGTGAGTTGTAGGTGAACGCAACGAAAATTATAGACCTATAGCTAAACACAAGCAATGGTACTTAATGAGATAACCCCAAAGAAAGTCTTCGGATTTAACTTCTTTGAAGTACTTGAAAAGGAACCCAACTGTATTTGCGGCTTTGAAATGATTGTAATAGAATGTATACTAGAAATAAAATAATGTACTTTTCTGATGCGTTCATTTGAATTATTTTTCGTTATATATTTAAGATCTAGCTGGCAGTCAAGTAAAGTTTGACCGTCGGGGCGATGGACTTGCTAGATATGATGTACTTAACTATCAACGGCTTGCACCGAATTCCTCCAGTTATTATTATAAAGTAAAATAAAAATCTAAATATTTTAAAAAATTAAGATATCTATTTCATCTATTTAGATAGTAGGCCGATGGTTTAATTCTCTAGAACTCAATCTAAATCAAGTAGTATGGAATGGAAATGTGAAGCAACCTGCATCGGCCTGTTCATTGCCTTGTGGTGTTGGTATGATCAAGAAACAACAGGTACTAGTGTTATACGGGTGATAATTAATAAAAATATAAATTTGTTTTCAGGGTGATACATGCTGTTGGGTGTGTGACAAATGTGAATCCTATGAATATGTTCATGATGAGTTCACATGCTTGGATTGTGGCCCTGGTTATTGGCCGTATAGGAACAAAACTTCCTGTTATGCTTTACCAATTGAATATTTACGATGGAGCTCTCTCTTTGGTCTTGTACCAATGATTATAGCGATTTTTGGCATATGCATGACGTTAACTGTAATAACATTGTTTATACAGAATAATGATACCCCACTAGTACGTGCATCCAGCAGAGAACTTAGCTACATGTTGTTAGTTGGTATTTTGGTTTGCTATAGCAACACTTTCGTGTTGATCGCTAAGCCTACGATTTATTCGTGCGTCTTACAACGCTTTGGTGTTGGTGTAGGGTTTTCCATAATTTACAGTGCGCTTCTAACAAAAACAAACCGTATCGCCCGAATATTTCATTCAGCCTCTAAATCAGCGATACGTTTGCGCTTTATTAGTCCGAAGACGCAAGTCGTAATTACGACCTCTTTAATTGGTACATTTGACTTTTTTCTAGTAATGTTAGCAGCGTTTATTTATTCTTCGTTAAAATTTATCAGGTGTACAAATCTTAATTACACTTATTTGGATGATGGTGGAGGCACCCGGTACTCGCTTTTACTATTTGGACCGTACCATGGTAATATTGAAATGTAAAATGCAGGATAACTCGTTTCTGATTTCACAAATATACAATATGATACTTATCACGGTCTGCACCTTGTATGCTATTAAAACAAGGAAAATTCCAGAGAATTTCAATGAAAGCAAATTCATTGGATTTACCATGTACACAACTTGTATTATTTGGTTAGCGTTCGTTCCTATTTATTTTGGAACTGGCAATTCATATGAGGTAACGACCATAATGATTTCTGTGCGACTTATTATATAATTTTATCATTTATCGAATTTCAAGATTCAGATAACAACACTTTCGGTTGCGATTAGCTTAAGTGCATCTGTTGCCCTTGTTTGTTTGTATACACCTAAAGTATACATATTAGTATTTCATCCGGATAAAAACGTACGGAAGCTTACCATGAACAATCACGCTTATAATCGGGCACCCGTGGCAAATGTTCGCACCAGCGCCGAGAGTGCATGCTGGAAAGTATCCTCAGTTGCTACTGATTATCAAACCAGTACTTTGAAAAATACATCTATAAATCCTCTAAGTACTGTCACCGATGGGGAAAATGATAGAGCCCCTACGGACATAACTACTGTGGAGACGACATATTTTAACGAGTGTATTACATCTACAGACAAATATGGCATCAATCGAGATAAAAATAACTCTCAAACAAGTGTGACGTTTAATTTTAACATTGTAGGTGCCACATACCCCTTAAAAGCTTCTGGTACTGCATGGTGTTGCAATAACTTCGATCAAAGATCAAGTAGCCAAGGGGTATGGAATGGTTTAAAAGCCGAAAAATCAAATAATGTGGGCACCAATTGTTTCCCCGAACAGACAAGGCTTCATGACCAGCCGGCCAAACTGAACAGCAATAATCTTCCGACTGCAGCACACATTGCTTCTACCTTATCTTCCAGATTCTCTCAAGTGGAAGGTGATCATAAAGTATTTCAAAAAGCAGGAGATGGAACCAAGGAGGACCATCTCAATAGGCATAATAATGAATTTTGTCCAAAATTTCCTTCGGGTTCAAAAAACACAAACGAAAACTGCTATGAGCCTACTTGCTCCTGCCATGTACTATTACAGTCTAGCAAAATCGCCGCTTTTAGTGATAAATCCGAAACAGAATCTGAACCGGATTCATAAACATATGAAATCTTAGGTATCCACAACTGTGAAATAGTATTGATAAGATTGAATAATTCCTTAAAGTTTTTCTCTTTGAAGAAAACTTTGGACACATTTCCGCAGCAGTTTGACTTTGGTCTGATATGTTATGAAAAACCCTAACAGTAGATTAGATTACTCGAGAAACGCTAACATCCATGTTTTTCAGTAATGTCTGGCAGTGTCTATTGAAGTATGGACTAAATGCATTTTTTAATTCTTTTTTTATTTGTTAATTTAATTTTAGTTTAAATGCTTGACTCTTTCGCTTAAATGTTATCACTGAGAGCAATTATTATTATGCATAAAAATGAAGAGCTCGTTTCGTGATTTATTTTGTATTTCTCGAAGTATAAATACGTTATAGCGACCAATAGAAATAGAACCAATAAGAAAGTTACACTCGGTAGGGGCCGAATCTCGCATCCCCACCACTGTGTTTTTCTCATTCTACTTTCCAAGTTCTTTCATTTGATACCCATACCGTTGGTATTATAAAAAAAATTAATTGCGGTGTCTACTATATTTATTTTAAAATTAACTCAATTTTACGCAGATCATATATCTTCTTTCAAAGTGTGTACAAAATATTTTTAAACATGTTGTCTTGTTTGCTTTATAATCAAAAAGCATAAGACCTCAAACAAGTGAAAAAAATAATTTTTATTCAATTGTAACTTTGTGTGTGCATAACCGATGGATTCCACTTTTGGAATTAAGAAGTAGAGTGTTTCGTCAAGTAGATGCGGAAAATTTCAAACTTCTAACTTTCATAATTTTCGAATAATGAGCAAAAATCCAAAAATATTTGTTAAAAAAATCTGAGTTGCGTTCAGTTTACGTGTTTTTGCTCCGTCCAATTTGGCCAGTTTTCCATACCGGTCCGTGTCCAGAAACTTCCAGTATTTTTACCAAACTTGAAATCGACATCTTAATTTTTGCAACCACGAGAGTGCCAACAAAGTACACCACACACAGACGGGCAGACCTGGCTAAATCAACTCAGAATTTTACGCTGATCAAGAATATATATAGTTTATAATGTCTCTGAAGTTTCTTTTTGGATGGAAAAAACAAAATTAAAATACGCCCATCTTACAGTAGTGAGTATAAAAAAAGCATAACTAAGCAACAAATGATACTATTCTTATGGTCTTTGCAATATAGGTTAAGATTTAATTACTTCCACATGAATAAGAGTAAACTTAGAAAAAAGTCCTTCTTTTCTTGAAGAGTTTTAAATGTGCAATTTTTATTTAGATATCTAAATTAAGTCACATATATAGTCTAAACTTTGCAAATGAATTAATTGTGTGTGATTAGTACATTCATCCTAGTTACTAAAATGTCAATTACTCCACTGCTACATAATTCTCACTTATTAAATATGTCATTCTATCCATATCAGCTGACACAGTTGCTCTTGCAAGCCGGCCTCAATTAATAACGCAAAGTGTTACATTCCATCAAAAGCAACTTTTTTGAAAAAAAAGCAAGACTTGAATTTCTTTTAACAAATCTTTTATGGCCAGAAACCCTTCAGTTAGAGAATTTCTTCTATGAGATGGACTTCGAAATGCTAGATCTGTCACTTCTTAATCTACCTGTCCAAAAACGGGTGTCGGTGTTTAACTCAAATTGTTATTATTTAAAAAAACACTACCACCCCAATTCTTAACTCGGGTCACATGTCTCAATTTTGTAAAATCTGAAACTTCTTTTTTGCCATTTACTGAAATCTTATTTAAACTTCATCCTAGTTTGCCGTAACTTTTTATTATTTTCGGAAATGATGGTCTTCATCGAGTTGATTCGAATTTTCATGTCCTCTAGATATTTAATCTACTGAGTTTTGTCGAAATAAAGTTAGGAAAAATTATTTTTTAAATTGTACATGTAATATATTATATTCGTGCCAAGTCTAATGATCTTACTTTCATCAAACCTGTTACTTTGATTGACTAAGCGTGCAACTTTGTTTTGCAGCTTCAAATATTCTTACAAATTTGGGAACTCTGAAAGATAATCCACTTATTTCCTTCGCTGAGAGTTTTAGTGATTTTCATTGTAGTTACCAAATTTTTTTAGTAAATATTTCGACAAACGTTAGTTGCGATAATTACATGGTAGGTGCAAGCGTCGTTTTTAAAATACTGACGCTACATGATTCGAAAAATAGTCACTTCAGAAGCGATAATATGATGCAAAATAAAGTCATCACAGTATACTTGCTCGTAATGCCCCCTGTTGGCATTCCATTATGTGTCCCCAAATCCAGCGCCGATAAAATTTGTGCTATCTCTTTGGAAATTGCATGTTTTTCTATCGCACAGACCATTTTTCCTGTTCCATTGCACGCAAGCAATAATCGAAATTATGTTAAGAAATATTATTACTCATCATATAAACGAATGTGGATGGCCGATATGGCCTTTAAGCCGTTTAAAACGATGTGATTGACGCAATGAACGCAGCTAAGCTCTCTCTTGCACAGACTTCGGAAGTATTTCGACGCTCATGCAGAAATTGCGTAAATTGCCTTCTCAAGGTAAATGGAGCGACTATGTCTCATTGGTATAGAGCCACTAAAATATCGAACCAATCAAAGTGTCCCATCCCTACCCGACCTATCCACTACAGCTCGATCGATTGAAAAGCGTCTTCTACACCGGCCTAGTAGGCCGGCAACTAAAGAAATGCGATGCCCCTCAATATATTTGGACCATCGTTGAGATTCCCGGTTTTATTTTCTCGACATTTGGCAATCTAGCTGTACTTAAGCAGATATTTCTTTTTGTACCTATAAGACGAGTGCATAGGTTGGCATCGGAAGAACTATAGTGGCAAAGGATCACTGGTGCATTTGAGGACTTATGCGACATGCTTCTCTAAAGAGGTAATGACAGTCAGAAGGAGTGCTGGTAGCTGAGATGTTTTACAAAATATTTTACATGAGGTGTCCAATGAAACGCTTTGGCGAAGTTTACTCCTAAGTATATAACCACGTTTCTGGGGATCATTACAAGTTTGTCTAGAATAACTTTGCTTCTCTTCCTAGAAAAGGGAACCAAGACCACCTGTTTCCAACTGATAAGCAATTGTGGACTGCAAGTCTCTTCGGATTAGCTTCATTAAAACTGGCTCGTAGCGGCTTACTGCATAGAGTCCTTAGTCGGGTCAGGAAAACTTTTCTTAGCTCTGATAGTTACCTTCTGATAATTGTCCCAAGTGATTCAGTGGTAATGAACTTAGGGTTCAACCAGATCATTATCGATAATCATATTTCGAATAGTTTTGCTTGCCTAAGGCTATTTCAAAAGCCCTGAAGACTTAAAGAGGTGCGATATATTTTTTCATCGCCAATCGGCCCGAAAAGGGATTCCTCCCTCTCTGCTAGCTTACACGAACAGAAGAATTGCTGAAAGTGGTTGCCTGTTCACTTTCGAAGCGTTTAGTTTTAGATCGTGTATTATTACGTAAAACTCAATCACGGTGTGAAGACCACGAGGCTACGAAAAATTAATTAATACCATACCAGTCAATGGCTGTTTTGTTTGGTGGGTTTTTTCCTTCACCAGGTTTTCTTGTCTATTCCCAAGCGAATGTTTGCAGTGATTGCTACATTACATAAGCGTACAGCATAGTATCAGATCCTAGCAAATTATAAAAGTTCTGCCTGAAAACGGAAATTCAATGGTCAAAGTAATTTGATCAATTTCTTGAAACGAACCAAATAGAAAGCCCTTACTACATCCTTAGATATTCCGCTAAAGCCTTTCATTCAACTGAAATAGGTAAGTTTATCCGTGGTATTTAGTTCTTGATGATCAATGGTGTTGTTTATTCGTCAGATTTATTAAACAATATAGGCGACCATGTTCCTACAGGTTATTTTAAAAAGTTTCTTTTCATTTCAATAAATGAATGTAAATTTAATGATAAATTATTTAATTCAAAAACATCAGTAATATGTATGATCTAATTCCTTCCTCAGATTTTTTAAGTAAGACCAAATCTTTCGCTTAATACCAGGGGAATTGAAATTTTTTTTAGTAATTAATGTTTCAGGCAGTCCGCTATTAATTTTGTGTATATATGTATTTCTTTTCAAAGATTTTCTCTATTTTTTTTCAATTAGTTAAAACATGCAAAATTTTAATTTAAAATTTTGAGAGTTGTGTCATTGCTTAATACTGCTTAGATGAATAAAGAAATAAATTTCTTCCCTGCTTTCTATGTTATCATGTAATAATTTTTTGGAAAGCCGGCGGCCATCAACGACATGCCAGCTTATTGTCTATGTTGAGATATTTCGCACCTTAAAGCAGTTATAATTAAAAAGTCTTGCGTTCAACTATGGTGTTCCCGTTTTTATTTTATTGATTGTATTAACTGCTTCGCTTTCTGTAGTAACCCTCATATGTACTTCTAAGTTTCATATATACTTCTAAGCTTCATATATACTTCTAAGCTTCATATGTACTTCTAAGCGCAGTTTAGACCGCAACCAATATTTTCGAAATTGCACATTTATCCAGTTCTGCCCTCCTTCGGTTAATTGGTTCTGCTGCAGGATTCAACAGTTTTTAGTCAAATATAGGCACGCTTGAAAAAATTACTTTCTTCATTACTGCAAATATCAGTTATTATACATAGTTTGCTGTTGCACTACAAATCAAAGTTTTTTAACTGCTCTGCCCTTTTAAAACTAACTTTCTTCCAAATGTTCCGGAGAAAGTAAGTAAGATGTCCGATGTTCACTTAGTTGCGAATGTTTCAGATCAGGATGGGGGCATTAACGTCCATTATTAGCGTAGATTCGCATCAAGTGTAAAGTTTAGTTTTCGACACTCTACCGCTGAAAAAATCTTTTTCACTAGATGCACCAAAAGTAAGATACCATACGTGGAGATAAGTCACATTGCTTGTGGGCTTAGTTCATTTAATCTCAACAAGCCAAAAAATTTGAATTTGCGAAAGCTGAGTAACGTATTATTAATGTACGTAAATAATCGCTTTGTGCGAATCAATATGTAAGTATTAGGTAGGATACTTCGACACATCATTTTATACCATTTGATGAACGAACATCGAGCTTCGCGGCAAAAATTTGTTGCGAGGGTGATTGCGGCTCTGCGGGAAAAATGCTCAAATTTTCCGGATATATTTATGATATATATATGTATTTATTTATATTGTGG